AAAATAGATAATCAATTTTGATGATCTATTTTTTTTTAGAAATTTCTAACATTGTTATCTATTTTTAGTGTAGCAGCTAACAAAAAATCTTTAAAAGTATATATAGCGATATTCATTTTTTTTTTATTATTATAAAACTAAAAAAAAAAATAAAATAACTTTTCTTTTATTATAAAAATAAAAAAAAAAAAACTAAAAAAAGATTATAAAAATAATTTTTTTAATAAATAAAAAAAAAACTAAATTTTATTAATTTCTTTTTTAATTAAATCCCTATCCATTAATTGTTAATGTACTTGAATACTTATTGATTATTATTATTATCATTATAATAGTGTAATACAACCCATAAGGAAGCCTTAATTTCTTATTAGATAAATTAATGAAATAATGCTTACACCAAATGATTTTTTTTTATTATGCAAATCATTTATTTTATTAATCGTTCTTTTTTGTAGAAAACAATTTGAAATCATTATCATAATTATTTGTAGAAATTTAAACACTGGAAATTTTAATTTTTAATAAATCTAGAATGCTTTCGTATAAAACTTTTTTTATAACTATTCTGAGATATAAACTTATTATTTAGTGGATCATTATTAAAATATGAACTTTTATTTTATAAAAAATATGCTTTACCGTGTCACAAAGCTCACATATACTTTAAGCCTGTATTTTAATATTATTAAAAATATTGACAATAATAAATTACAGAATATTACGAAAATTTAAATTTAAATTTAAAGTAACAAATCTAAGAAAGGTTGTGCCATTATTAAAGCATGATATATATATATACCTTGAGATATGCTAGATGGCTTAACCAACTTAAATTTTCATGTTGTGTATTCAATGCCCAATCTATTGATTTTCGACAAAATTCTTTAAGTTCATTAACGGCTAAGTTAGTTCGGGATGAGAAATCAAAGATGGTAGGTGAGGTTATAATTTGAATTTTTGAAATTTTAATTTTTGACGTTTTAATTTATTCTCAAAATAAAAATCCTTTAATTTTTAGATTTTTAGTGGAGTATTTTTTTTTTTTTTTTTTTTTTGATTTTAGAAAAAATTTGTATGTGAAATTCGGCAGTCGATGCCACAAAAATCTCAAATCACAATATCACAAAATATCTTTTCGATGAATCACACTTATAAATATTTCCGACGATTATCACACATAACAAAAAGACCAATGTCCAATGTTCAAAATATCGGAAGCAATACATCAATGTTTAGTAAATATTTATTTAATTCAACCAAATCAGGAATATGAAATGCGCCCAATATTGGGAATATCTTCGTGCAAATGATATTTTTTAAAAATTTTTTTTTTTGTTCTAATCATTTTCCTAATTTTGATATTTTTTCGTTGACACGCGGAAATGAACAATATTAATTTCCGTATCTAAATGATGAGAATAATCTTTAATTTAAAGTTTGTGCGAAAAATAAATTTCTTTAGATCTTGCCTTTTAATGGATTGAATGATCAATGATCATTTCGTTAGATCTAGATTGAATGAATAAATGATTATGTTTATGTAATACTATTGTAAAAATGATGGGTCATTTATTCATTTTCTACCGAAATATTTTTTAATTTCAAATATTTCACCATTGAAGTTGATTTGAAAATATATCATTTTAAATGATTCTGTTATTGTAAATCTTAAATTTTTTTTCTTTTCGTACAATTTTTGCAAACATTATTTTTTTGTGATTGCGTAAGTGAGCTTATTATTCAACGATTAATTATTCCCCAGCAATTTCTAATAAAAGAATTTAATCTCTTTCTTGAGCTGCATAATAGTATTTTTGGAATCTGAAACGCTTTCTTATCTGATATTTACAAAAATCATTTTGAAGAATAACAATAACGTAATAAAGATAACAATGAAAATATTTTTTTAGTAAAACTTTAATTTATTTTATTATATCTTTTTCCGGATTTTAACAATGTTCGCGTGCCACAGAATGGGAAGATTATCAATACCAAAACATTCATATCTTTTCAGTTTTTTACATAATTTTTTTGAATATGTGTTGTTAATCAAATAATGTTAAACGTTAATTATGTAAATTTACATATTAAATTTAAAAATTATAATTTTAAAGAATATATTGTAATTTATTACATGACCTTTATGGTTACATTAAAACAATCGTTATCATTATTATAAATTTGAGTTTAAAGTATTCAATCGTACTCCGCAAATTTATGCAATTGATAATAATACAAAATTATTTAATTAAAATTACTAATGACATTTCGAATTTTCAAGCTTTATTATAATTAATGCATTTTTTATAATATCCAAAAAAAAAATAAAAAAAAATTAATTAGTGATATTTAGGTTAAATGCCGTAACTTGAATAAAAAAAAAGTGGAGGAATTTATGAATATTATGTCTTAAATTCTCTCGGTTTAATATAAAGTTGTAATTTTTCGCATTGATTTACGAGTGAATAACATTTATGAAGAGGTGCATCTGGGTCTACTAAGCTAACATCAAATTTTCTAAATACTGAAGCCATTAAGGTTTTAATTTTTAACTCAGCTAAATGTCGTCCAGGACACATTCGAATACCACCACCAAATGGAATAAAAGAATTCTTTTCGATAGAATTTTTCATAAATCTATCGGGATCAAATTTTTCAGGCTCAGGCCAATGTTTAGGGCTCAATTGGATTGCGTGCATATGTACGAAAAAGGTTTGACCGGCTTTCCATTTCATACCAGCTACTTCGTCATCTTTA